TCGGACGCGGGACGGATCGAAGGTGAGGCTTCAACGGGGATGTGGTATTTCGAAGCAAAGTCTGTACACCTTTCTTCCGAGTCCTCAGACATTTCATGATTTGTTTCGATCAGAAGCTCTCAAGGAGAAGCAGTTCAAAGAATGGGCGGGATAACGATTAAGTCCACCCCTTTTGGCCACACAGGGCTTTCCCTCTCCCCAAAACGACATCACAAACAATTGGTGGTTTGCCGACTATTTCACAATGTTTTTTGGTTCGAGTATCTTTCCCTCATTAGTGCAGACCAAGTTGACCCTTTTTCCCTTTTTTTGCCCCCCAAGATTGCTACCAGCGAGATCATAAAGGAAAAAACTCCGCTAGTCTTTTATCTACCATTCCATGACCATTTGCTGTTCCGCCGTTTTGTGGATATCGCACACATCGTGCTTCGATGAACGATGCGTTTGTAGGTTTGGTTTGGGCGGGTGGATTCCTCTCGTATCGTGTGTCATACCGACACCTGAGTTGCGGGAAGAAGGAGTTTACCAGGAAGACTCCTTGGGGGCGGCAGCGGCAGCGGCGGCAGCGTCGCCGGCAGCGGCCCAGTCACCGGTGGGAGCAGCGCCAGCGGCAGCCCACTCGTCACCAGCACCGTCCCAGTTGGCACCGGCCTGAGCACCGGTGAAGCCGGGAGCCTGGGCGTCCCAGTCGCCGGTGGCGGGGAAGCCAGACTCAATAGCGGCAACACCCTCCTCCTCAACGCCCGGGAGCTTCTCCTCCTCGACCTTCTCCTCGGCCTCAGCCTCGGGGTCGCGGTCTGGTGCGCGTGTTAGTTTTCTCAATCCTTAGAGCTTGCTTATAGGGGGGTTCCACATACAGAAGTACAAATCGACCATGGTGTCCCAGGGGGTCTCGCGGTTGTAGATGGTGCCGCGGAGACGGAGGACCTCACGGGCGAGCATCCACCAGACGAGACCGATGGAGTGACGACCCTTGTTGTTGGTGGGGATGGCAACGTCGACGTACTCGGTGGGGGAGTCGGTGTCGCAGAGGGCGATGACGGGGATGTTGACGTAGGAAGCCTCCTTGATGGCCTGGGCATCGGTACGCGGGTCGGTGACGATGATGAGGCGGGGCTCCTTGAAAGAGCGGGTGATGTAGTTGGTGAAGGAACCGGGGGTGAAGCGACCGGCAATGGCGACGGCGCCGGTATGGGCGGCGAACTTGAGGACGGCACGCTGTCCGTAGGGACGGGCAGAGATGACGCAAATGTCGGCCGGGTTGTCGATGGCAGCGATGATGCGGGCGGCGAGGACAATCTTCTCCCTGGAGGGCGCGCAAAAAAGTCAGCGGGTTTTTGCGCTGGCGCAAATTGAAGAGCGCAAAGAGGTCCCCTCGTGTTCTTTTTCCCAAGATTTCCACAGACACAAGAAGCCTCTCCTTCGCGTCGCTTTCTTTGCTTACCAGGTCTTGCCAACGTTGATCACGTTGACACCGTCGGCACGGGTCTTCCACAGGTAGGGCTCCATGTGAACCTGGAGGTTCTTGGATCCCAGGTGGGCTTGAGCTGCAAGCAGCATCTCAATGTCCTGGGAGGTGGCATTGAAGATCGAGGGGAGGTTAGCGGGAGCCATCTTGGGCAATTTCGGTCTTTCTTCCACGGGGAGACGGTGTCGAACGGTGGTGGTGCGGAAAGGGAAGAAAGTCAAGATTTCGCGATCCTCGAAAAAAAAGTTCGCCCAGTTGTGCGTCTCGAATCCGTGGGTGGGTGGGCAGCTGCTGTCTCTAGCAAAGCCCTCGCTAGGCCCTGGTGGTCCAAGCGTATCTGAGGTCCCGCTAGAATACGTACTTCCTTGGACTCCATGCTCACGTGACGGCTTGACAGCCACTAGTCCTCCTTTGGAGGTGCATCCACTCCCAGGGGATGTGCAGCGGAGGACGAACGGGCCGGTCGCCATTGGAGTGCAGCAGTCAGGCCCAGATACGGGACCACCTAGAGTCTACCTAGGAAATTTTATGGTTCCCATTGTCGATGATCGCGTTGAAGGGAAACTGCTGCCACCATGCCTCCCAGATTACAGAGCCTGCAACGGCTAGGCACAGCTAGCTGTAAGCTTCAGACTTTGCATGAGGAATATAAGAGGCAATTAAAAAGCTAATTGGTCAAAATAGTGTGCCTACGCCCAGCTACTAGACCGACTCCGAGCTTCCTCCCCGTCATCCAGACCGCAAACCTCTCCCAGCGCGAAAAGAAGCGCAAAGCAAAGCAGGACCCGTACAAGCACCAACAGGCCCTACAGCGCAAGGCCGCCAACCAGAAGAGACAGAGCGAGATTCAGGCGACGAAGGATGCGAGCTGGGGTGACCAGATCCACGGTATCCCGACCCCTTTCGTCGAGTCGTTCGACTCGGCCGGCCAGGCGCCCACAACGAAGACCGTCAAGGACGACAATGGAAACATCATTGCCGACCCTCGCCCTCTGCCCACCTCGCCGGGGCTTCTCAATCACCTTGTCGACGAGAAGGAGCTCAAAGCAGTCATAGAAAAGGCCTACATCTTGACGAAACCCGTAAAGTCGGAGATCAGGGAGCTGGCAGACCCTGCAATGGAAGCACTGGCCGATAAGAAACATGAGCTGAACCACGCCAAGGCAGTCGAGGCTCTGCAGCGTATCCTGTCCATGGACAATGCCAACTCAAAGATCCTTCTCCACACCAACATCAAGAGATGCGTCCAGGAGTTTGGCCGGCACAACACCGACAAGTTCCTGACGAAGAAGCCCAAGTCTACTCTCGTGGACCCCAAAGCCCCCAAGAAGCCGATTCGAGGTGGCCCCGACACTGGTAGCTCAGAGGTCCAGGTTGCCATTCTGACCGCCAAGATCAGGAAGCTTTCGCAAGAGCTGTCACAGAACCGCGGTTACAAGGACAAGCACAACAAGAGAAACTTGAGAGTCTTGTGCCATAGGCGGCAAAAGCTTCTCAAGTACATGGAGCGTAGTGAGAGAGGAAGCGGGCGGTGGACGCATCTGCTCGAGAAGCTTGGCCTGTCACCGGCGACCTACAAGGAGCAGATCAGCTTCTAGGCGAGCCAGGTGCGGGAAAAAGGTAGACACGTGTAAAACTAAGACTTGTAATTGTCCTTTATGTACACTATAGCGATCGGTAAAGATGCTGATCTCCACGTCATAACCTGAGCTCCCTCCTTGCGCCATTGTGACCTGCCATTAAACGATGAAACTGGTATTCTACAAAACTAACAGAACAGGACTGCAAAACATTAAACTCAGAACACGCTAATGTAGTTGCCGATCCGGTCTTTCTGGTTCTGAGCTATGCACTCGGCGATCCAGGTGATGTTGCGGATTTCCTGCTTGTCGTTAGCTTTGTCTATCTCATGTTCAGGGATTTCGATTCTTACCTGCTCGCGGAGTCTCACCCACGAATACACGATGGCGAAACTAAACTGTTGAGTGAAGGCGCTCTTGGAGATCTCCATCTCCTTTTGATAAAACATATCTTCAAGGCTCTTGCCGTCGGAGCTTGAGCCGCCGCCCTGGTTACCCGGGCCAGAGGGACCACCGCCGAGACCAGCTGCCTCGAAGAAGCTCTTGTAATCGCCAACTCCATCAACTGCAAGACGGACGCCCTCGAAGTCTTCCGCTCTAGAGAGCATCAAGGTCCCCTCCGGGTACAGCTTACCAAAGCTGGGATACAGCTTCTTGCGGTCATTCTTGTTAAGCTCCGTGCCGAAAGAGTTGAGGGTGATGTTGATGGCACGGCGGTCGGCCTCGAACTCCAGGATCTCTGACATGACCTCAGCTGTCGGTGAGCCAGCCATATCAGGGTGGGTGTTCACAAAGTTGTGGAAGTCCTCCAAGTAGTTCTTGTAAAGCGTGTTTCGGACAATCTCGATATTGAGCTCGTCGAGATCCTGGTGGCTAAGACTGCCTTTGAAGTAGGCGGCAAGCGGGGTCTCGATCAAAACACTGTTATAAAGCTCCTCAATGTTCGTCGCAACGCACAGGACTGGCATGGTCTCGAACCAGCCGAGAGGATGGCATCTCTCAAGAAGCTCGCGGGTGTCTCGTTCGTGCAGAGTGCCGGTAATCAGCAGAGCAACGTTGTCGATCATGTAGCCGTAGGTGAGGTAGTCCATGAACTGGGCAAGGGAGCCGACGGCGTTGGCGCGAACATAGCGGAATTCGGAGACAAGTTTGTCGGTCGTCTTCGCGGCCAGAGCTGATGTCGAGGGGTTGGGAGGGAGGTTGCCGAGGAAGTCGCCGTACGCAGGACCGAGTTGCAACTTGAGATCTGGAACCGTATTAGACATGCATCGCACCGGAGCACATAGAAACACTCACCGTCGATGGTCTCGCACTGCGTCAGGTTGGCATAGTTGGAGCCGGTAAGAAGGCCGTTCCTGTATCCACGAACGATGCCCTCAATGTAGCTGCATCGTGTTAGCTAGCCACCCACCAGATTATCTCTATCATAACCCCAGAACATACCCGCTGTTGACGTTGAAGAATAGGCCCTCCATCTTGGCTGTGTAGTGGATTATTCGATTCGAAGGCGACTGGAGTGGTGACGCCGGTCTGGTGGAGGCGCAAACGGAGACAGCTGTGGTCGTTGACTTTACCTTACGCTTCCTCGCTCTCTTCTCTGCACCAGCTCCAAGGTCCCAGCAAGGCCGGCCAAGGCAAGTCCACCCAGCCATTACGAGTTGCAGCAGCGCACAGACCACCGGAGGCGGCTTTTCTCGGCAAAACAGATTTTACGCGCTCCGAGTCATCCCACTTGCCAATTGGTGTGTGGGGTGGGGACCCGCCCAAAGGCTTTGCAGCCATCGAAAAAAAATTGGTGGAGCTTGGTTTGGTTCAGAAAAAAATATTTCCAAACCATCAATCCGCTCGCTGGAAACCTGCCTCCGCCGACAACAACGTTCACACCCACGCGCGGAGGATTTTACCCGAGGGACCAATTTGGCCAGATTTGAAGAGCATCGACGGTTTTCACAATGTCTCTCTTCGTTCTCGCCGAAACGCCGGCAGGGTAAGTTTTCCATTCGGAAAAGAACTAGAGAAAAAAAAATGTGGTAGCAATTGGAAAGCTAACGCGAAGAATAGCTACGGTCTGTTCAAGGCTGCCGACAAGAAGCTTCTCAAGCGCGATGAGCTCACCACTGGGCCGACCTCTTCGGAGCAGATCAACGAGATGTAAGTCGCGCTCCCACAATATTCAATTGCAGCCAGTCTCCACGAGTAGCACGCAGCAGCGCAGATGTGTACAAGCAAACTCGTGTTCCTAGCCGCGAATTAGACCGCTGGCCTCGAGTACAATCAAGGCTAACTTTTGCAAAGGCTCAAGTTGAAGACTTTCGTCAAGTTCGATAGCTCCGCCGTCGCCGTCGAGGAAGCTGCCGGTCTCAAGGAGGGTCGTGTCCCGCCAATGCTCGCCAACCTGCTCAAGGAGATCAAGGACGAGAAGAAGGCTACCCTCGCCGTTGCCGACCTCAAGCTCGGTACTGCCATTGGCAAGCTCCCCGACTTGGATATCAAGGCTGTCTCAGATGCCGCCTCCCAGGACCTGTTCCGTGCCGTTCGCGAGAACCTTTCTTCCCTGATTCCTGGCCTCACCACCGAGACCATGGACCGCATGGCCCTTGGTCTGTCGCACTCGATTTCGCGACACAAGCTCAAGTTCTCCGCCGACAAGGTCGACGCCATGGTTGTTCAGGCCATTAAGCTGGTGGACGATCTCGACAAGGAGCTCAACGTTTACGCCATGCGCACCAAGGAATGGTACGGCTGGCACTTCCCCGAGCTTGCCAAGATCCTCAACGACAACCTGGTGTACGCCCGTCTCGTCGTTGCCGTTGGCATGCGTCAGGACTTTGCCGAGTCCGACCTCTCCGACATTCTCCCCGAGGAGCTTGAGGGCCCTGTCAAGACTGCCGCAGAGATTTCCATGGGAACTGAGATGACCCCTGAAGATTTGGAGAACATCCAACTGTTGGCCCAGCAGGTCATCACCTACTCCGAGTACCGCACTTCCCTCTCCACCTACCTGGAGTCCCGCATGCGTGCCCTCGCCCCCAACCTGACTGCTCTTGTTGGTTACCTCGTCGGTGCCCGCCTGATCGCCCACGCTGGCTCCCTCATCTCCCTCGCCAAGGCTCCCTCCTCCACCATCCAGATCTACGGTGCCGAGAAGGCGCTCTTCCGCGCTCTCAAGACCAAGCACGACACACCCAAGTACGGTATCATCTACCACTCCTCCCTCGTTGGCCAGGCCACTGGCAAGAACAAGGGCAAGATCGCCCGTTCCCTCGCCGCCAAGACTGCCCTTGGTCTGCGTGTCGACGCTCTCGGCGACACCGAGAACCAGGACGATGAGGAGGAGCGCAGCATCCTCGGCCTCACCAGCCGCATCAAGCTTGAGAACCTCCTCCGCAAGCTGGAGGGCAAGCCCCTCCTCCCTAAGGGTGTTGGTGTCGGCCCTGACGGTCAGCTCACCGCTCCCGGTGGCTTCAGCCTGAAGGATTCTCGCAAGTACAACGCCGACGCCGACGGTGTTGAGACCGAGGTCAACGGCAAGTCCAAGAAGCTTATCCAAGTCGTCGACGAGGAGATGAAGGACGCCGACAGCGAAGACGAGGACGCCGAGATGAACGACGCCAGCGAAGAAGAGAAGAAGAGCAAAAAGGACAAGAAGAAGGAGAAGAAGCGCGTTTCCATCGCCGCGGCCGAGACTCCCGTCAAGGCAAGCAAGGCTGTCAAGGGCACACCGGCGAAGCTGAGCGAAAAGGACTACGAGCGTTTCGCCGAGGCCGCTGGCATCAGCGTGTCCAAGTTCAAGCGCAAGTTCGAGCGCGGTGACGTCCAGCTTGGCGAAGACGGCACACCCGTCGTCTTCAGCAAGAAGGAGCTGAAGAAGCTCAAGAAGGCCGAGGACGAGGCCGATGAGACGCCCGTCAAGGCAACCGACAGCACCAAGAAGAAGCGCAAGCACGAAGATGATGAGACGCCCAAGAAGGAGAAGAAGCTGAAGAAGAAGCGCAGCTCCCTTGGTGCTTAGAAAGCCAAGCGGCGTCGCATTTCTTATTCATAGACGGCACTTGGGCCTCATGTGCATAAACATATTGTTCAATGCGCTGTATGATACCTTGATCTCTCTGGCCGGCGTTTTGGGATGGACCTGGGGGGTTTTTATGGTCTGATCATTGGATGGGCATAGTTTCTCTTTTACTACTGGCAGGAAAAGTGCAATGTAATTGCTTGTTGAGTTTGACTACTGCTCCCCACCCGTCAAGTGTGATCTGCCCTCCATCCAGCGCCTTTTCCAACTACATATACCCTGCTCTTCACATAGCGATATCTCTCAAATCACTGAATGGATAATGATGAACAAACCTAGCGTAGGTGGCAAGCACATGTCGCTTGTGTGTTCGAGCAGGTAACCCCCTACGGTAAAGCACGTCTGCTATTCAATTTGACTACATAATTGTTCTCGTCCAGTCCACCTTGTACCGCACTCAGAGGGGAATGCAACGCTTGTTCCTGTCGCCTCTGCCGCAGATGGGCGGCTTCCTGACGTTGCAGCACTGTTGAAACTCAGCACTAACTCGTGTAATAGAGGACGAATACTTACACGGTAGTTAGAGGGACCAGGGCAGTCACCACTATGTCATGAAAGTATCAGCCATTTATTCCGAGATTGGTGAGGTGAATAACTGGGTAAGGTGGGTTCACGTGGAGTATGAGCCGCTGCAAGAGAGGGTATCCTTCTGGCAGTACCCGTTGCTGTTGCAGTCTGGGTAGAAGCAACATTTCACATCGGCCGGGTCATTGGGGCAGAGGTTGGTCTTGGTGTAGCCGTTGAGAGAGCTGCACTTGGAGGTCTTCTGGCAGGTTCCGTAGTTGCCCTATGCAAGATCAATAGACATTAGGGGATGCCACCGACATCTTCTGGAGAACAGAACAGACCTTGCTGTCGTGGCAGTAGCTTCCGATAGCCGCCAGAGCACTGGGGGCGAACAGAGCTGAAATGAGTGCGGAGACCTTCATAGTTGCTGATGATCGAATGTTGAGATGTAAAGAAGAAGAGAGGATGTAATTGGAGTTGCTCTGCTTGCTTCAAATTTGACATGTTCTCCCGAGTGCTTCTTGCCTTTTATACACCAGAGTTAAGACCGGTGACTCGCGGTAGAGCGTTATATTTAGCGACGGCAAGAGTCAAGGTGCGGTCGAAGAGAAACGGCCCAGGTCTCGAATGCAAGCCACTGGACAAAAAGTTCCTGTAGCTTGCTGGTAACATCGTGAAGGACGATACCCTCCTCACCGGCTGACGTTTTGCATGCGACTTGCCACTGAGGTGCAGCACTCAGGATCAAAAGCTAAATCGCAGAGACATGGGCTAATGTAGATTTCACTATGTGTTTCTCAAGTGAGACGACAACCTCACCATCGGTTGTTTCTGTCAATGGTTGGTTATTTGGGCAACAACCCCGAGATGTACGAAAATAATCGAATAGGTCGTTGCACGAGCGCTTACATAGGACAACATGAAGATACACCGAGGCTTTTGGATGCATTAGTCTCTTCAATACTTTAGTTCCAATGAGGAAGGAGGTTTTTCTAGCAGAGGAGGCTGTCAAGTAGATTGCTCACACGAAGTCGGGGTAACGTTGAGTCTAGACCATGCAAAAAGCAAGCGATGTTTTCAGCTGAAATGCAAGATCTGGGGCCGAGATCACCACCCACCAATCGCTTGGAGCTTTCCCACGGAAGGACTCAATTTCTAGTCGGGCAACCCCTCACGAAACTAGGCAAATGTCTTTGGCAAGTATGTTGCCATCTGGGATAGAGTCGCTTGATAACTCTAGGTCTCTGACCACCAACAAACATACTCTGCATGTGTTTCAAGCCACAATGAAACCTCAAGAAAACTATTTCAAGAGACACTGCAGGTTATTAGCCATGTCTATGCTACCATTGCTGGTAGACTATCCGCAAAGGAACTGTTTGTGACGATAGTGTATCGGTGAACCGGTGAGGGAGTTTACACCGACAAGCGAGCACGTGACAAGCCTCGGTGGATCCACGTGGTTCTCAGCAGCGAACGCAGCAACAGCATCACCACGCATGCTCTCCCGCGAAAGCGCCGTGGCCGTCAATCTCATACACCAATGCCGCTCCTGAGCTGGTGAACGGAAATGGACGACCAACGGCGGGGCAACTTTAATGGCGGCCGCCCGCGGCCTGACCTGCGGAGTCCCGAGCAGCTCACCCAGGACGGGTTCGACCTCGATACTGAACCTAGCAGCCAGTGGACGGGCGACTATTACGACCGCCGGACAACAAGAGCTCTTGGTCCCAATGGTTGGTCATACTTTTCTTCCCGTCAAAGACGTTCAATTCCAAGTTCAAGCTTGTATTCCACAAGTCGCAGCTACTGCCTGGCATACGACACACCACCAGCGCTTCGACGTACTCGGCGTATTCGAAGCGAGGGGCATTGCTCTTGTGAAATTGAACCATTCAGCCCTGCGAGCTCAGAAGGAATGGTCATTTGTTCGATGTCGCTTCGAGTTGCATGCGTCTGACAGGGGTGGTGGTCTCTCCATGGAGGGGTTTCATTTCGACTACCGTTTGATGAGAATTGCTGGCTCCTCATTGCATGTTTTTGCGCAAGTCTTGTATTGCTTTGAAAAATTCCTTGGTTTTGCACTTCTTGCACAAAGACGTTGTAGAACTGCGGGGAAAATAGTCTTCTATGTCCTTTCCAGTCGATTAGACGCCCAGTGCGGGAGATTAGACCAGGGGGCCGCATGACACCCGCCTGGTCCATGTTCTGGCCCTGGCCATCGACTTCGGACGGTTGACAAGTAGCAACCAAGCCATGGATCTTGACCGTTTCACTTCTAGCTTATCATCACAACACTGCTGACTCATTCACCCCTTAGGTGGCTCACATCGAGACGAAGAAGATTCTGATGACGGCGAGGCATTCCCGCCGCAACGCGTTGACTGGGAGGCCATGAGAGCTGGCGCCAACATGGAGGAGTATCTACGAAGCCAGCCCATCCCGGAGTATTCTGACGAGGAGGGCATCAGCATGCCACTCGACGACCTGGGCGAGATCTCTGGCACGGACACTAGTGTTGAGGACGGAGAGAACGGTGACCAAGGCGGTGACCACCAAGATGAGCCCGAGTTCGACCCCCTTGCCGTCGGTCTGAAGGAGATTTCAAACCTGGGGAAGTTCACCGTCAGCAGCCACAAGCAGGGAAACGGCGTCGACCAGCTTCGCGACGACAGCTTGAAAACCTATTGGCAGTGCGTCCACCCGACGACTTATTCCAAAAATAATGCACACCTTTGCTGACAGTAAGATAGATCCGACGGTCCTCAGCCGCACAAGCTTACAGTCTACTTCATCAAGCGAGTTGGCATCAGAGATATTCGCTTTTACGTAGACTATAATGAAGATGAATCTTATACGCCAACCAAGATCATCTTCAAGTCTGGTACCAGCGAGAACAACCTCATTCAATTTGCCACAATGGAGCTTTCGACACCCTCTGGCTGGCAGATTGTTCCAGTCGACGGCGCCGGTGGCGGCCCCGACGGCAATACGTTGGTTTCCTATGTGTTCCAAATGCAGATACTTGAGAATCATCAAAACGGCAAGGATACGCACCTCCGTTCCATCAAGATCTATGCTGCGGACACGGACACCCCCAGCATTGATGCGGACATGTCAAACCGCGTAAGTTGACCCTCTTGAATATGTGACAAGTATGTCACTGACAAAAGACCTGAAGCGAGCTGTGAGTGAGGAATCAGACGAGGAATTCGCAGACCCTTGGGATCTCTCCGTTCTCGAGGCTGGCTTGTCCGTTCCGGATTTCATGAAGGAACCTGAGATTCGATGAGGCACAGATGGAATCGGCTTATTAACCACACGCCGACTTATCGATTCTGATACTCGAATGAGCCCTAGTCTTGACTAGCTAAGCTGGACATATCGCTATAGGGCGAGGGCATTGGCGTATCACGGGCTACATATGACACTGCAACTATTCTTTTCGCTGTAATGATACCCAAAAGTCGGATGCGGAGAAAGCTCTCATAGAGCTAGGAGTTTGATGGCACGTTACGCTCAACAAAAGAGGCGTTTCTGATAAACCTTCCAGCATTCACGCGGCCACAAAAGGATGGCATACTGTATTAACAACCCTACTGAGGTACCACCGCATATTTAGCAACAGCTTCACACCATCTCGTGTCTTCTTGGCAGCCATGGTTGCCTGGCATGTGTCTAGCTAGCGCGAGCGGCTGAGGTCTGGCCCTCAATTGATTGGCAACTTCCATCGTGACCCCTGCTAAACCGGACGAATTGTATCCGATTCTAGTAATGAGGCTTTTGAACAGGAACGTCGCACGTGATGGCACTCTCGACGGTTCGAGAGTTATCTACGATTTGGCTCACAAGGTGGCCGCATATAGCAGGCTGATATTCAAACCTGAACCCAAGAGCATCGTCCGCTTCTAAGAGAACGGCGCAATGGAACGGGAGAGCACGTATCGATACCAACCTCTGCCACCGATTGCAGCAGAGGGTCGCACACCTTCATTCACCCGACTTCTATTCTTGTACTCAGGTTCGGGAGAAGACCCCTTTGAAGCGCATCTAGAAATCGTCGACATCGAGAATGCGCCTCCTTACGAGGCTTTGTCTTACACGTGGGGAAAACCGACAGAACAGCCAAGGGACTACATCTGGATGCAAGGCCGTCCCATGCCCATGAAGCCAAACCTAGAAGATGCTCTGCGCTTTCTGCGCTTGCCGAACCAGGTCCGCAGGCTATGGGTTGATGCACTCTGTATTGACCAGTCTGACCTGGACGAGCGTGCTCGGCAGGTGCAGTACATGAGGCTGGTCTACAAATACGCTGCCCGCGTCGTCGTATGGCTCGGTCTCAAGACTTCCGGTACCCATGAAGCATTTCAGGCCGCGGAGAGGCTCGCGAGGATCAGAGAGTTCACTCATCCGGCGGCTACTGGACCTGACGGCGGGCATCTCGACCCCGATACCGTTCAGGGTCTGACGAGCAGCATGGTTGAAGACCTACCGGAGACGTGCATGATCCATCTGAATGAGGTCTTTGAGCGTCAGTACTTCAACCGTTGCTGGTGCGTGCAAGAGGTGGTGGCATCTTCAAGGGCGATTGCCAAGATTGAGGACCTGGAAATGTCCTTTTTTGATTTGATCGCCTCGTTGATTGTGCTCGCGGGTTGGAAGAGCGAAATCGTCATTGACCAGCCCTACCAGTTGTGGAATCTGATTCTCATGCGACGGCAGCCCAACAGCTTTCTCGGTCAGCCCGAGGTCGAGGGCTCGATTGGATCATTTCTCTCACTTTTGGAGCTGACGCGGACGTTGCAGGCGACGGATGATCGAGACAAGGTGTTTTCCCTCCTCGGTATTTGCGACGAGGGGCTGAACCCCGTGCTGGCGTTGACGCAGATCCAGGGCAACAATGATAGTTGGCGCATTCGCTTGATTCGTCGAGGCTTGACGCGGGTTAACAACTTTGTCAATGGTCTTGCTCCGGATCTCAACTTCGGCCGGCCGAGAGCTCTGCGGCCAGACTACAAGAGGGAGACAGTGCTGGTATACTGCGATCTGACGAGGTTTCTCCTGCGCAAGCAGCCTCGGATTCTGGACGTACTCGACCACGTCCAGCATGATGAGGACCCTAGCCTTGGAGACTATCCTTCTTGGGTTCCAAAGTGGTTTGACCCAAGGACATGTTGCGTCTTCAAGGGGGCCTACCTCGCTGGCTTGTGTGATGGACATTTCCGTTACTTTGCTGAGCTTCACGATATACCAGTCCGCGACGATCCCCTGCGGCCAAAAGTTCTGTCATTGGATGGATACCACGTCGATGTGGTACAGCAAACGAGCGAATCGGTTGCCTTTGGATTTGGGTCTCGAGCTACTGCAGAAGCTATCGTGCAGGCTTGGGAACAGCTTTTCGATTTACCGATCGCTCCTAGATGCGGGAGAAAGTATCGAGACAACAGCCTCCTGGACGTGGCATTCTGTAAAGCCATCCTGGCTGGTGCTCTGGGTTCCATCATTGGCTACAGTCACCTCCTCACCAAGAATCAAGGCGGTTTGAACCCGCTATTCGACGACCGCACTCACAAATCTCACGCTGAGCTCGAACGAGAGGCTCAAGACTTGGCGGAGACGTTCACCGCCCAGGTGGCTGAGTTCGGTCTCCCGCCGACGGCGATGGAGTTTGGGAACCCAGATCGAGAGGACAAGCTCTATACCTTTATAGCAGGGGTGCGCACCTACTTGAATAACCGAAAGGTGTTTGCGACCCGTGATGGCCGTGTGGGCATTGGACCCAAGATGATGCAGCCTGGGGACGAGGTCGTGGTTCTTTTCGGGGGGCGGATGCCGTTCATCGCACGGCAAAGAGGTGATCATCGACTGCTGATTGGAAGCTGCTACTTGGTCGACGAAGAGCTGATGTGGGGAAAGGTTACGGAGAAAGTGAGGTTCAATCGTGGTGGTCCTCCGCGGGTGACTTTTGAGTTCCATTGAGTTGCTGTCGCGAGATTATCTCAATCTTCAACAACTCCCACCTGAGGGGCCACTTACTTTAACTTGCACACTGCTGCCCCGGAATCTGACCAATAAAGCGCAATTCATTCCTGCACACTGCGGAATTCGTTCTCGGAATATTTTCCCAGTGCAAAAGCCTCCACATCTTACTCTAAAGATCATCGCCAAACGCCCAGGTCGAGTGTGGCGTTAGCGAAGCACTTCAAAATCAAGATCCTCCTAATCGGAAAGGGCGGCCGTGAACATGCCCTTGCATGGAAACTCACTCGGTCACAGTCAGTTGAGCATGTCTACGTTCTGCCAGGCAACGCAGGCACCGAAGCCCTGGCGAAAGCCTCAAATTGCCGTGAGGTAGCTGTTGACGACTGCAATGGCCTCGTAGAGTTGTCAAAGAGTCTTGGAATCGACCTCCTTATCATCGGCCCAGACGACGCCATTGTTGGAGGCATGGGAGACCACTTCCGGAGCAGTAAGTCATTTTGGATCATGTGAGGAAGTATGGCCTAACAAGAGGCAGATGGAATACGCTGCTTTGCCCCAAGTAAGAGGGCGGCCATCATCGAAGGCTCTAAGGACTTCGCCAAATACTTTATGTGTAGACGCAGGATTCCAACCGCGACCTACAAAACGTTCGGCAAGGTTGATTGCGACAAGGCTAAGTCGTATGTGCGAAGGTTGGGCCGCAGAGTGGTCATCAAGGTGGACGGCCTTGCAGCTGGCAAGGGTGTTATCCTGCCTGAGACCACGGAAGAGGCAGAGCGAGCCCTCGAAGCCATAATGCTCAAGGACAAGTTTGGTGACGCGGGGGAGATGGTCATTATCGAGGATTACCTCGAGGATTACGAGATCGGCGTTCTTACCTTCACTGATGGAACATCGATCCTGTCTCTGCCGCCTGGTCAAGACCACAAGCGGGCTCACGATGGTGATAAGGGGTTGAATGCTGGCGGCATGGGGGTATTTTCACATGTGCCTTCGGTGACCGAGGAGCAGATGGCAGAAATCGAAGAGAAAATCATCCTGCCGACTATTGTTGGCCTTGGAAAAGAGCTAGGAAGTAAGTTTGAACAAAGTATCGGCATCACATTTGACGCTAATCTAGGGATACAGGGAGACCATTCAACGGTAAGCTCTTTACGGGAATCATCATGACGCCCTCAGGTCCCAACGTGCTTGAGTATAACGCGCGCTTCGGAGAACCAGAGACGCAGAGCATGGTGCTTCTGCTTCCAGACGAAGCCTTGCCTGAGATTATCCTCGCCTGTGTGGAGAATAGACTCGGTGACATCAAGCTGGACACTCTTGCAGGATTTGCCTGCAATATCACCGTTGCGGCAGAGGGCTACCCGGAATCATACGGGAAGGGCGATCTAATCCGATTGGACTCTACCTCTGAAGGTGAGTCTGAACAGAAAATTGCCATGGTCCATCGCTAACAAACATATGCAGGTGTACATATTTTCCACGCCGGAACCGAACAGGTCAACGATAAACTAGTCACAGCAGGCGGCCGCGTCCTGTCCGTTGCCGCGACGGGTGAGACCCTTGAGGAAGCAGTATCAGCTGCTCACAAGGGTGTTGAATGTGTTCATTTCGAGGGCATGTTCTACCTCAAGGACATGCAATGCGGCAAGTCAGACCAAGAGCCATCTATGTTCTCCTCAGCTCTAGATACAGTAAAGTGTGGCTGACATGATCAAGTTCGCTCAAGTTCGCTCCGGGAAGGGCCGAAGATGGACTCAACTAGTTCGAGGGGTAGCTAAGACCGGAGCGTCAGCCGTTGCCGTTAATGTTTCTGGTGTGATAGGTCGATAAGTTGGGACGACCTTTGACATGGCCCGTCAAACAAGTAGCAGATGCGGAGGCGGAGAGCCAACCCGACATCGCCTGGCTCAAGCGTCAGGACATTTTGCGAGGCGGGGTGGTCTGGAAGGGCCGGAAACTCCATGTTCTGGGCCCAGCTGACATGGAAAACTCACGGTGGTCTCTGGAAGCTTTCGAGCGTGAAACATAACAGCCACTGACGCATCGGGAGGACCGTGATGGCGGGATGCAGGAGATGCAGGCGACCGATGGACCCAAGTCTAGACCGTTGTGGTGTGATGTCATACGACATCGAGGCTTTATATAGTATTCAAGAGCCCCCGGAGCTTAAATCCAGTAGCAGTCAATGGGCCATGACCGACGTAAGCTCGCGCTCAATGTGCTGAGGCTTTCTCCTCATCACCAGCAACGATGAACGTCTTTGTCGTTCCAGCGTCTCCCAAGACAGGGCAGGCGACGATCCAATCTCTCCTTGATCACCCTTCACAACCACACGTCACAGGCGTATATCGAGATTTGAGAAAGATACCGGCAAGGTTTAAGGACCATCCTCGATTTCGGGCGATCAAGGGCGATGTTGCCGATGTTTCGAGTCTCAAATTTGCTGGTGCCGATGCCATCGTATCCATCACGCCTCCGCAGTACTCCGAGTCCAAACCGATAACGAGAGCACGGGAGATGGCAGCGAATGTCAAGTTTGCTATTAGCAGGGTTGGGTGTTCGGTGAAGCGTTTAGTATATGTGTCTAGCATAGGAGCTCAATTAGAGCATGGGACGGTAAGTTAAGAAAGGAGGTTCTCTATGGCAGGCAGATAGCTGAAGGGATTATTTGTAGGGCGAGATAAGAACGAATTACGAGGCAGAACAAGCCCTCATCGGTGCGGCGCCCGAGGTCGTCTTTATTCGATGCGCCTACTTCATGGAGAATTGGGCGGCAGTACTTAAGACCGCGAATAATGATTCGCCACATTTCTCTTCTGTGCTGTGTCCCATAGACTATGCAATACCCATGGTAAGTTTTACCGGACAGTTCGGTCCCAGTGAAAAACATACCGTTCTAAACGTATGATGAAGGTCTCGGTGAAAGATGTTGGTCGAACATGCGCAAAGGAAGCCCTCGCGGCAGGCTCGCATATGCGACATAATCCCTACATCTTCAATTTGCACGGACCGGAATCCTACTCAACGAAAGATGTACAAAGAGCGGTGGAAGACACAACATACAATTACAACAAGTACAGTTACCGCAAGGACAATGACGACAAGGTTGAGCTAAGGCTGGTACGAGATGAGCAGCTAGAAGACTTCTTCGCACGATTATATCAGCCACCGACGGCTCAACTATTCGTGGAGATGACAAGGAGTCTCCTACCTGGGGGGGTCGTAGCCGGGGATATGCGAGAGGGCCACTTGCTCCAGAGGGGCACCGAAACACTGCGCGAGGTGATTAGAGACATCCTCAAGAAATGAGAGAAAAAAAATTGCAGAAAAGTAGCGACTTGAAGAAGGGAGCGCCTTTTCGGCGAGACTGAGAGGAGAGGAAAGAAAAAAGAAGAGAGAACCGAGGGCCAACAAAGCGAAAAAGCGCACGGGAGCGCGAAAAGCCTTGACAAGACACAAATTTGCCTCAGAAAGTCATCAAACAAGACCCGCCTTGCTAGCTCAATCGGTAGAGCGTGAGACTCTTAATCTCAAGGTTGCGGGTTCGACCCCCGCGTGAGGCTCAAATCCTCACCGCGATTGGTTCAGCCATTCTTCGGGTTCTTGAATTTTTGCTTTTCGCATGACATCGACCAACCATCGACGGTGATGCTTGAAACCATGTGGCAAGCCACAACCTTCTTCTGGCGCCGACCACTAGGTTCCCAGGTTCTTGCGTGAATGCAAGTCAATAATTGTCCTCTACCCTTTCTTTGGCTGTAGTTGCAGTCATCCACTTCTCCAAGCTGCGGTGAAGCCGGAGCCGAAGCCGATGTATCGAAGGTCAAGTCAAGCCGAAGGCCCATCGCAGCACAAGCATAAAAGGGAGGGCACCCACAGACAGTCAGCGATCAGTTTTGCATTTCTCGGCTAGGATGAACATACTTGTTTCCGATTAATAGGATGTCTCGGCTCGAAAGCAAGAAGCCCTCGGAGTCGAGAGACCTCATATCATATCCTGCTTTCATCTTCGGCTCTACCCACACACAACCCCAGCGTAGTCGCTTCTAGGGGTCTATGAGTGCGTTCCACCCGATTTCGGGATCCGGTCTTTATCTAGTAGACTGAGGTCTAGAAGGGAAGCTCGCACAACAGAGGCACGCCTTTGATCGTTTTCCGTTTGATCCACCAAGTGGTGCTCTTGTATGCCGACCCTGGTTGGCAAGCCGACACTAATCTGACGGGATGCGACGCAGACGTTCGGCTTGAAACGCCAACCTTGGCGGCTGAGATTGCCCAGTCAGCTTTAAGAGCTCCTCAGCGCTAGATTTGATGTTCGCCAGATCTTACCAAACGATCTCCCCAGGCTGACTTTACCTTGCCCTCCCGTAACTCGAAGTGGCGAGGACTGAGACTCAGAAGGTTGCCTCCAAGATTGTCTCGCAGCTGACGGTGGTCTCCGATATGGAGAAGATTCAACTTTCCTCGTCGCCGAAAAGTGACGGTGAGGTAGCTCGAGTTGACGAGGAAGAGCTCGTCATGGATCAAGGACTTGTCGCATGGCTTCAAGTTCTTGGAAGCTGGATTCTGTTTGCCAACACTTGGTAAGTCGAAAGCATCCCGGTCTACCATGAGGGAGATGAACTTGATCGGGGGCCAGAGTTCGTACGGCAGTACTCAAGCTGACGTTGGTCAAGGGGACTGTCAAACTCATTCGGAGTCTTCCAAGCCTACTACTCCAACAACCTTTTACCAGACGTCAATCCGTCGACTATTTCCTGGATCGGATCCATCCAGATCTTTCTGATGATGCTCATCGGCGTCTGCGCGGGTTGGCTTCTCGACGCGGGGTATCTCCGCTTCATCCTCATTTGTGGCACTACCATGACGTCCCTCGGTCTCTTTATGCTGAGCTTGTGCACGAAGTATTGGCAGATCCTTCTTGCACAGGCACTCTGCGTCGGAACAGGAAGTGGGTTGCTGGGGTTGACGTGTGTTGCTGTGATCCCTCTTTACTTCCGCAAGAGGAGGATGGTTGCGACTGGCATTGCTGCTACGGGAAGCAGTCTAGGTGAGTTGTGAACAGAACATGAGATTTGATATACGCAAGCACGAGTACTGATGAATTGTCAAGCGGGAATCGTGTATCCCATCATAGAGAGACGTCTGATCGCATCTATTGGCTTTCCTTGGGCTGTCCGGGTGTTCGCATTCATCGTCACCGGAAGCCTCCTGATTTGTATTACAATCATGCGTCTTCGACCCAATCTCAAGCGGCGTGGAGCTCTCTTTCGCCTGGAGCACTTCCGCGATGTCCCCTACATATCGTTCTGTATTGGTTGGTTCCCTTTCCACCGGGTCTTCGACTCACTGCAGTCGCTAACAAGTAATCAGCCTTCGCCTTGATGATCGGCTCTGTCTACGTTCCCTTTTTCTACGTAGATGCCTATGCCATCCGTTTGGGCGTAGATCAAGACACGTCTTTTTACATCCTCAGCGCCATGAACGCTGCAAGTCTCTTCGGCCGTCTAGTTCCCAACTGGCTCGCTGACAAGTACGGCGGCATGGCAATTATGCTTCCCTGCTGCCTTTGCTCGGCTGTCATTCTCTTTTTCTTCCGCTTTGCGACCGACCTGCCGAGGCTGATTGCGATATCGATTGTCTACGGGTTCGTCTCGGGCGGTATGGTGTCTTTGCCCCCTGCTACGATTGCGAATTTGACAGACGACTTGTCAGAGTATGGGACGAGGATGGGCATGGGATACACCATCGCAAGCTTTGGCGCGTTGATTGGCAATCCCATCGGGGGTGCTGCGCAGCGTCCGCAAGGGGACACGGCGGCAAATGTGCAGGTGGAGTTTCAAGGGACTTGGATCTTTGCTGGTGGATTCATGCTCGCGGCTGTCATTTCGATGGTGATATCAAAGTACGTAAGAACTGGATCTGTCTTGCGCGGCAAATGCTAGCACTCAAGAATCTTATTGAAGTCTACCCACTATGGGCTTCAATCCAGTGCCATGAATCCACCCAAATCTAGTTAGACAAAGAGTAAAAAGTAACCTCTGCAATCATCGTCCTGGCCGGGATGGTGACGGAGATGGGAAAGCCACCGTAATCTGGGTGCTCGTTAGGCATCATCGCGAACTTGCCACTCCTCGTCTCATCACCGTTCAACACACGACTTGTTTTCAAGCGACCGGTCTCTTGGTCCTCTACAATCTTCTCCTCAAACTTCAGAATACCAGTGAAGTTCTTGTCCTGGCCCAATGCTTCTGCTCTGACCTGGAAACCCCAGCCGATGAGCAGGAACGTGCCTCCGCCACGATGTATCACCATTCCAGCCCCTGTTCCTGGCTTACCGAACACGAAGCACCGCTCTATGGTGATCTCAAAGTCTCCCCAGGTGCGACGGATGACGGGGCTCGGGTCCTTTCCGGCGGCATCTGCCGGAAGCTCATCGAAGCAGAAGCCCACTGATGTGTTTGGGTGTCGTTGTGCTTCAAGAATGATGGGCGAGATAGTTTTCAGCAGACCGTAATGCTTGGTGAAGGGGCTGTCTTCCGGCTCGATTGTATCCACACCAAAGGGAGCAACCCCCATAGCGCCGTAAGTGCCGTACGCAATCCAAATACGACGCGCACCGTAGTCATCTCGTCGTTGCTCCGGAATGAATAGAGGCTGGTTTCGATGCCTGTACTTGGAGCAAGAGCTGGCGTAGTCATTGAGATAGACATCCGGCCCGATAAAGTCCAGCTTTGGCGCGAAGCGCATCCATACGTCCAAGACATTGCTCACGGGGCCTCCGGAGGGATAGTCCCCTGGCATGCCGCCGCCGCCCACCACAACGGGAAAGTCATTGTCCGAGTCTTCGCCGACGTAGTTCATCCATACGTTGGTGTAAAGTGGGATGGGATAAGCCGCTTTCCCAGCCGCGGCAACTTCGTTCAGGTAAAGGGCGTAATTGTATGCCATGAATAACTCATCAGTCCGAGGACTGCTCCCAAACACAGATTCCCAGCTGCCACTTCCATCGAGGTGTGGACTTTGGTGATCAAATTGCGTGAGGCTCTGTTCTCGCATATCTTGGTGTAGCTGATCCCACTCCGCAGACAGGAAGTGGACGAGGTCCCTTGGAACCGATTCATGAAAGGCTTTATTCGCAAGCTCTGAGCCGTCGCGAGAATCTCCCAGCACACCGCACTCGTTCTCAACTTGTACCATTATAACAGTAGAGTGTGACTCGTCCACCTCTCTCAAGTGTTCCATTAGTCGGCCAAAAGCCTTGGCGTCTGCTTTGCGGCTCTCGGCACTAAAAATTGATAAAACGTCGCCTATCTCGAGACGATCTCCTGCCTTGCGAAGCTTTACTCGCGGGAATCTCTTGTCATCTGTCTTTACCCAAGTCGGTGTATAAGTCGACAGCCCTGTGCTTGTAAGTCTCAATCATCCTCAAGTCTGTCACTCGAGGACAGGGAAGAAACAGGGCAGCGTACCATTTTTGAATGACCCAAACCAAAGCAGAACTAGGTGCATGGAATGCTTCCGTGCCGAGTTGATGATTTCGTCAAGCACTGAGAAGTCGAACTTATCCTCTTCGGGCTCGATCATTTCCCAGGATACGCTACCGAGCAAGGTGTTGATATTCGTATCGGTCATTTTCTTCCAAACGGTTTCCATGTACTCAGGGGACGATAGCGAGGAATTTTGAAGTTCACCGGCTCTCACGAGAAAAGGCTCTCCCTTCACCACGAGTTGTTTTGACCCATCCGTTTGGACGAGGTGAGGGATGTTGACACCAAGGTCAGCCATCTTCGCGATGACTTGAGGGGTCGCGTCGAGGAACGTCATTGTATCGTGGTGTTTGTTCGGTCTTCTTCGGCGAATCTCTAGATTCTGACTAGATGGAAGCGACGCGGTTTGGGAATTAGGCAAGAGAGAGGGAATTGAGAACAGAAATCAAGCATGTTCATGTTTGCTATTTCAGGATTTGGGGTGACAGCACACCAACTCAAGTGAAGGAGGATGGATCTGCAGTGTTGAACGCTCTTCGAAGTTTGTGAAAGATGATTGGCTCATAACCCGATGATTCGTCGTTAGCTTCCCGGATCTGCGAAACATACGAGGAATGAGGGGGATATGCCGGTACACCAGACAGCAAAGCGTCGATTGACGAGTAAAGAATCGCGCCATGCCTGTCTTGCTTCCCCTCAGTGGCGTCGACTCATGCATAACAGCGTCCTCCACACGTTGGTTTGTGGGGTTTTCGGGTCACCGCCCAGTGAAAGATGTCCATTTCCGAGAAACTAAATAGAGGGCATGTTCCCGTCTCCAACAGTGTCATTCACCGTGGAGTCTGTGAATGGTATCGCTCGCACGCTGTCTGATCTGGCGATCGGATGAAGCCCCCCAAAGCATGTCGACAGTGCCGGGAGAGCAAACGGAAATGCCTCCGTCGTACCCTCGCAGTAGGCGAACCCTGCGATACTTGCCGAGCTAGAAGCCTACCGTGTGCAAGTTCTCTCTCACGCGTTCCTCCATCGCCGCTGCCACTGCTCCCAAGACCTGAAACGACCTCGTCGTTGTCAAACACCTCCACGACTACTTCGTCGAGGACCGAAGGCATAGACTTGCCACTTCACACGGCCAAACTTCTCGTCGACTTCTACCTAGATAAGCTACACAGTCGACCGCATAGCCTGTTCCACCCAGCAAAACTTCGGCAGGAGGTTCACGATGGGTCTATTAGCAGGATTCTCCTCTTGGCTATATGCAGCATGGGCTCACGGTTTGCCCTCGATGATGAGACCCGGGCCCTAGAGGTTGGGTTGATGGAGGAATCTAAACGGCTGCTGCTGGCGAATTTGGAAAATGTATGCGTCGAAAACATTCAGACGTGTGTCCTCATGGCGAACCTCTGCGCAGCCCATTTGAACCCTTCCTCAGAAGCTTTGTTCTTCCGTAAGTAGTTACCATCGTACGGACTGACAGGTGTAATTTTGCCCATAGAATTCATTTACTCACAATTAACAAGGCACTGGCATCAGCCTCTCTCACATCATGCAGCTCGGCACCTCCACTGTCGGAACACGGCTGGTCGATCTTGAGATTCACAGGAGGATATGGTGGTCGCTTTTCATGGCCGACCGATGGTCGTCTTCCAGTCTCGGCCTGTTGCCACAGATTCGCGATACAGAGCTTGCTGTTGACCTGCCCATGGACGAGGCCATATTCGAGTCCCTAGATCCAAAAGCAACGCAATTAGAGAAGCCATGGCATCCGGGAATATGGGCGTTCAAGATCTATCTGGTACAGCTATTTGGTCCAATACAACAGCTCAATCGCCACAGCGTCAACGGCAGTATGTCTGCGGGGAGCATTGAGAGCAGCATCCTCTCTCTGTCTCGACAGCTGGAAACTTGGGAAACGTCCCTGCCCGAAAACATCAAATGGAAAGAGGAAATGCTAGACTGGCATATTGGCAGAGGGACTGGAGGCCCATACGTGGCCCTTCATCTTGGGTATCATCACTACTCCGTCTTGCTTCACTTCCGGTTCCTCAGCTCTCAAGAACCAAGGTCGCCTGCGGCTAGCTTGTATCATAGTAGGTGCAAGTCCCACGCCTCAGCGTACAGCAACCTTGTCAAACTCGCCCGTCGTAAGCAGAGATGTGAAGTCGTCTATCCTACGGTCGGACATATGGCTGTAGTCTCGTCATCGGTGCTCCTCCATACTCTCTTATTCGGCGAGGAGGCAGATCTCAAGAGTGCGAGAGATGCCCTGAACGCAAACTTCGCAGCCATTGTCGAACTGCGACAGTATTGGCCAAACACAGCGCCAATGGTTTGTGCCCGTTCAGTTTGGCTCACTCTCAAGCTCACGGAAACTGATGTGTTACAGATCGAACGTCTTGCCACATTTCAGAACTTTTGCCTACTGTCTGGTGACTCCAGAACACATGATTTCGATGAATGGATGGTACGCTTTCTGACTGAATACTCACTACCTCTGGAAGAAAAAGACATCCAACACGTGAGATCGGGTATGGACTACGATATTGATAGTTTTTCGGCTCGAACTGAGGCCCTCACGCAGCAAGGAAGGTATACCTCGTTTCAGACAGACAACTCTGACGCCTATAGTCTACAGCTTCATGAGTTCGACTACCTACTTTAGTTGTTGTCAATAATTTTGTGGCTTGGCAATGCAACGTACCATCTCCCTGTCGAAACCCGTATACAGTCATGTGAGAGACCTCGTCACGAACGGGAAAGAGAATTAGTATGACATGAAATGGCACGATAGAGCAATCCCCTACGCCTGGAAAAGCCTATCGTACCATGAGTCTCGTGGTCGCCTCACTTTGTGAAAATATACCTACCCAAATGGAAACCTAATCTAATGGCGCCTTCGGAGACCACGCAGAAAGTCATGCTATATGCGGTTTGATAAGGCTTTCTTACTTATGTGGCGGATAGACTTTCACAGGTATCGGGGAAAAGACCAATCAAGTTTCTCACTTTCCGATGGACTAGTTTTCTCGTCCTGAGTGACGTCTTTTTCTTGAAAGAAGCGCTAACAGCGTACCGGACCTAGCTCCTGGTTAGACCGGATGTCGTTACCCTCACCACAGAGGTTGGGGAACGCACCACCCAGCTCATGCGCGCGCTCATCCCGCAACCCCAGCAAAGTGATGATTCCAGTCTCCTAGATGTCGGAAAAACGTCAAGATGATTGGTCCTGAAGCCGCGAACTAGGTCGCAACGAATGAAAGACATGTGCTCGGTCGACTTACCCCAGTCTCTTGTTCCCGAATCACCCCACGAACCTGGGGTTTCCTCCCAGGAATACGGTAAATGGCGATCATATCTAACTTCTTATAGAAATGTCAGTGTGTAGTTGTAGACCCTTTATTCGCGGCCATGTCCATATTATGTTGGCTCGTCTGATTTAAAAGACATGCGTAAATCTCATGAGCTTCCAATTTCCTGTAACCCATCATCGTTCAACTCAGCGGCCCTAGACCAAAACAATCCGCCGTCAAGACCTCGGGGCTGCTATTCACATCTGCCAATTTCTGTATTTTCAGGAGCAGAATGACTTCAACCAAAGAGCACTCGGAATATCTCGAGGAGCCTCCACACCTTGAGGTTCCACGGGTAACATGGTATAAGCACGCCGGTTTGCGGAGCCTATACATAAGGATGCCAATCCTGATGCTGTGCGCCACCATTAATGGATATGATGGGAGTCTCTTGAATGGTCTCCAGACCATCGAGAATTGGCGAGCCTGTAATTACGATACCGTGCTGCTTCGTTGAATGGTCCACTGACTCTCGAACTTCCAGACTTCAACCATCCTTCCGGCTCTACTCTTGGCCTTTTCACTGCCATTGTCAACATTGGTGGTTTCAGTGCACTGTTCTTCTGTCAGTTGGGAAATATCATTCGTGGAGAGAGTTCTGTCCGCTGATATTCCATTGGTGACAGCTCCGTACATTGCAGATTTCTATGGCCGTCGTATCGCAACTGCTATTGGCATCGTCATTCTTGTCGTCGGCGTCATCATCCAGTGTAGGCACTATGGTTGCTTGCGCTTGTGCGTAGACATGAGCAAATCTAACATCGGCTAGCCGTTCCGAGTGTCAACGAAGGGATGTTTATCGGAGGTCGTTTCCTCGTGGGATTCGGGTACGCAGGCATTCATTACACCAAATTACCGTTATGGCTACTGACCACCGGCCATCTTAGATCCAACATCTCCATCGGGGCCGGTCCGCTGCTGATCATGGAACTCGCTTATCCCCAACACCGAGGCAGACTCACCGTGATGTATAACAGCCTTTGGTATGTCGGAAGCATCGTCGCCGCCTGGACCGTTTACGGAACGATTAAGTACACCGGTCAAGTGTCGTGGCGGGTTCCCGTTGCTCTGCAATGCCTCATGCCGGTGCTCCAACTGGTTGGCATATTCACGTTACCTGAGAGTCCTCGTTGGTTGTGCTCAAAGGACCGATCTAGCGAGGCCTTTGAGATCTTGGTCAAGGTAAGGAGAGTGCAGGTTAGATGCACTGATGTACTTTGATTGCTGACTTCCGATGTCGGGCAGTATCACGCCAGTGGAGACCGCGATGACCCATTCGTCCGGGCTGAGTTCGCCGAGATCCAAGAGACCATCAAGCTTGAGAAGCTTGCAGCGGAGACGGGGTGGATGGTCTTTTTCCAGACACCAGGAAACCGCAAGAGACTGATGCTCATTGTGCTTACATCGTTCTTCTCTCAATGTTCAGGTATGTGCATACCTCTGGAAGAACCCGGGCTTGACTGACAAGTGACTCTGCTAGGAAATGGCCTAGTCTCGTACTATCTTCACGACATTCTGAGTTCCGTTGGCATCGACGAGCCCAACTCCCAATCCCTGTTCAACGGCGGTCTACAGATTTGGTCGTTTCTCGTTGCAATCTGCTTTTCAGTCTATTTCATCGAGAAGCTCGGCCGCAGAATTCTCTTTCTCATCGCTGCCGTCGGGATGCTCGTTGTCTTCAGTGTTTGGACTGGGTATGAACCCCGCAATGTCCCAGCAGTTACATAACTTGAATTGACCATCTCAGATGCTCTGCAGTGTATGCCCAAACAGGCAACAAAGACGCCGGATCCGCAGTTTTGGCGATGATCTTCCTCTTCTACGGAGTCGCTGGTTTCGCGTGGCCTGGCTTGACGGTCGCCTACTGCTCCGAGATTCTCCCATTCAGCATACGAGCCAAGGGACTGGCGATCTGCCTAGGAGTGACGGCGCTCTCTGGTGTCTTGAATCAATACGTCAATCCTATCGGGCTCTCGTCGCTGGCTTGGAAGTTCTATTTTGTCTACATCGTCATCTTGGTCATCGAGGTGGTTTGCATCTGGTTTCTCTTTGTGGAGACCAAGGGGCCTACTCTCGAGGAAATCGCCGTCTTGTTCGACGGCAAGGATGCCAAAGTTTCCAAGGAGGCGGGAATGGACGGCGATGCTACGTTTGAGCAGGTGGAGGTCCGTAAGGCTGTGGAAAAGGTCTAGGCATTATCCACATAAGAAACAAGCCAGCGAAGGTGTTGTGGGCTTAACAGGGTGGAAGCGACTGTACGGATCGGTTCCGGAGAGACGAATGTGGGTTGCCGGTTGGACACTGGACAGCGGAGGCATGCCGTGTCGCCCGTCGCTTGAGACCGGCTTGTCAAGCACGGAGAATTTGAATCAAAACGACCAGGGGCTTCCCTGAGTATCAAATGTGTGCGAATCCGTGCTGTTGTCAGTTGACGTGTTGACGAGGTGACTGATAAAGTGCGTCCATGCTTCTTCTCCTTGTCATAAACTAGCAACGTCGATCCAACAGCGTCGCAACCCTCATCATGAAAGGCAGCAAAAATAACGTTCCACTTGACAGAATCTAATAGTTGAGAAGTATATTATATTGAGGGGAATCGCTGGTCGTGCCCGACCTAGCTGGCGGTCCAATACTCTCAAAGTCGCACGGGAGGTATGAAGAAACATCCTGGAAGCAACCTATGCGTGCTATGCTAGAGATCATGCTGGTAAGCATGCGTGCCTTGCTCAGAGCTACTGTATGCTAGGAAGCTAGGGCGGTGCAGAAACCCCTAGGATTCGAAACATGCGACACACCCAAAGCCCAACACACCATCAAGCCCGGGGCGTTGCTAAAGATGGATATGGGGACTTCTTGGCCACGTTTTGACGAAGCTTGAGGCTGATCTGAGCGGCCGAGAATGGTGTGCCGGGCAGGCAGGCCTCCTGGCTTGGCGTTGCCTCCTTGTTGTCTTCGTACGTGGAAAACTCATCCATCGTCTACCCGGGGACCGTCGGTAGCCAGCACGGATGGGTTTAATACGAGGAGAGTCCTACGTGGCCTGCGGATGAACAGCACCATCAAGACAAGGTCTGGGGATTTATCTTTTCTTCACTTGGCTGGTTTCCCTGTTTCCAAGCATTCTCGGCCACCAACTTTCCTCGTACTTCTTCTCTCTTGTCCAACCTACTAGTCATACTTGTCGCTATTTCCACCATAGAGAGACGAACTACGATATATCCCTTGGCTTGGCCAACAAACGCCCTTACCACAGCTGATTATTGACGCCTGAACACACACACTCAACGGGTGCTCACAGACCGGAACCCCACCGCCAACTCCCGGGGGATACTCGACAACCGAGGTACTTTGTTGGTCACCCGACGACAGCACCACCTTTGTGTACCCATCAAGTCAAAAGTCGAGGGGCCGGCGTCTTCTCTTTTCCCCTCTCTTTCGTCCCACGGCGCACTATTCCCACCGCGTCCACGCCGGTTTGGCGCACCCGCCTGCGGGCAGTCTGCAAAAGCACAAGCACAAGCACCGGACAACCCAACCACCGCCCCCCTCCCCCTTGCGATCGCCGCGTGGCGGTCGCCCATTCCAGCCCGTTCGTTGCAGCTCGCTCTAAAAAGGTGAGACTGAGTTGCAGTCTTGCGCAAAAACCGACTGACTCTGACTCTGACTCCTGTCGTCCACCCTCTGCCTTTCTCTGCCTGGCACGCCTTGGTAAACTTTGCGCCTGGCCTGCTGCATCCCAACTCGAACGGAACCCCAGATTCAAGGATTCAAGGAGTCTAGAAAGTAACCCTGCATCAGACCAGATCGAATCAGGTCGTTTGGTCACAAGGGTCACGAGGGACACAACGAACGAAGAAGAAAAGAAACGAACCCACGGCGGGCAGACTACCACATCACAGATCGATCATCAATCACTCATCACCACCTCGACCTCCTCCACTCGCACCCGTCTCTTCCTCCCTCTCCCTTCTCTAATTTTGCAACTTTCCCCTCTCCCTCCCATCCTGAATCAAAACAATGTCCTACCGGTTCACGGCCACCGAGGCTACTATCGCAGACGTTGGCTAAGACTTACCTGAACCAACATCTCACTCGAACGCTCTCACTCACTCACTTACCTCCCCGCTCTCATTCAACCACACCGCCCGCTGACGCTCACACTCACTTTACACTCTTGTCACTCAAGGTCGCCCAGTCCCTCGGCATCGCCCCCAATATTCGTCCAGGATTCCCGGCGCGGCTTCCAGACCCGTTTCACATCGGCCTCTCTGTAGCACCCCGGGTTCCAAGCAGTTTCAACCCTCCGTGACGAGGGGATCCCCGGTCGCCCAGCCGACCCGCCAGATCTCTCATTCTCTCTCCTCGCTGTCGTGGGCACATATTCCGTCGACGGTGCACTAAAGGACCACCGATAACCTCGTTCGACCATCTCCCGCGCTGGGCTCACTATGGATGATGTTGTCAGCTCGTTCGGGAGGGGCATCTCCCGCGCTGCCCGCGGCGTCCGCAAAAAGGTTCAGGGTTCCCAAGATGATCAGCAACCATCTCAGTCATCCGCGGCTTCATCGGCCCCATCCTTAACCGCTTCGTCCACCAGCGCCGAGGGCACTCCCGTACCCGCTCACGCTCCCGCACCGACCACTGAACCCGATCTTGAAGCCCAACTCCCGGCTCACACGGCCTCACAATCTCACTACACGGCCCTGCCGCTCACATCACCACTGCCGCCTTCGCCCTTTACACCGACTCTAAATTTACCGGAGCCGGCCTCACCGCCGCCGCCTCACTCAGCTCATGAACATCATCCTCATACGCTTCCAACCTTGACACTGGGTCCATCAGCCCAACCCCCCACTCAGGATGACGCAACCCTCCAGGCTCTCACCGGCGGTCACCCCGCTGAGTCTTCATCCACCTCGAATGCCCAAACCTTTACGAACAACATCACCACTCAAACTCTCACCGTCCCGGGGCCGCAGTCTCAACCCGTATCGCCGTTGTCGCCCCCGCCGGCCACCCTTCACTCACCCATCGCACCTTTAGTCTCCCCCTCATTCACTCCGTCAGCCATATCCTTCGCGCCTCAGGTCCACCCAAACTCACCAGCGCCCCAGCCTCTCAACCTCTCAGCCGCAGCTTCACCAGCTCAGTATCTGCCCTCACCTCTCGAGTCACCTCTACCCCTCGAACTTGAGCAGCAACTGTCCTGCAAAGATGGCGGCTCAATACGACCTACCAGCGCCCGAAGCGCCCGGCCTCGCACATCCCGCTCACGCCGGGACTCGGTCATTGAAAAGGTCGCCTCGCTCGACCCCCGGCGACGCTCCCGAATTCTAGGCCCTAAGACTGGCAATAGTCTTATGGATCTCCCGCCCGAGCTGCATCTCATGATCATCGACTACCTCGAGTTCGGCGAGCTCGAGAATCTGCGCCGCACGTGCCGCTTCTACCGTAACTTTCTCACAAAGGAGACTATTCGTGACCTCTTTGGCGAGCAGTTCCGCCTCGCCTTGCTGGCGCATTGCTATATCTGCCTAAAGTACGATCCCACGCGCGGCAGCTTGCTCTGGGCGGACTACAACCATCCGCGGTACCCTCTCGCCAGTAAATGCGTCGACTGCGCATATCAAAAGAACGAGCTGGCGGTGGGCAAGAAGGTTGCGCTGGGTAACTACGCAAGTGTTTGGATCTGTCGCTGGTGCGGGTACCCAGTCGCCAGTGCCTCGGCACCTAATCAGCCTGAGTTTCACAAAGGCTGCTATAATCACTACAACAACGTCCTGCTGGTGTATTTCGTCCTGGGCTGGATTCAGCTGTGTCTCGGTATCGTTGCTGGTGCGCTTTGCTGGAGGTACTTCAGAGATGAGATTCTCGTCTTGGTGCCGTCTATTGTAAGTTTGTGAAATCCTTTTTGCGTTTTTCACGAGCTGGTTTTCTAACGTGATTAGGTCGCGTTCGTCCTCTTGTGGTGGTGTCTGGCTCTCCTCGTCGTTAGAGGTGAACATAAGCGCACATATCATTTCTCGTTGATCCTTGAGACAGCGATACTGGGTCTCTGGTGTCTACCAATTTACGTACTCGTCAAGGATGTCGAAGACGGCATAGCTGGACTGTTTGATAGACGGGTCACAGTCACCCTGGTCTTTATCGTGTTGAACATGTGAGTCTGGATCACCATGACATCACTGTTGGCGAGCTAACAAGTGCAAAGGTTCTTCCGTCTACTCAACGTTCTGGGCAGCATTGTTCTCACGCTCGAATGGCGACACTTTGCGCGCAAGAAGCCCCGACTCAAGCCCGCAGCCCGCTTCTTCAACATGATTCTCGCCGGGCTCGTGTACTGGACATACCCTCAAGCCGTCGAACAGGAGTACCCGCCGCAATATCACTTCATCAACACCGGCCGACGACGGGTCAAGAGAATCCTTGCCGAGAGAAACGCACAGCGGCAGCGACAACAGCAGCAGCAAATTATGACGATGATGTATTAACCGAAGTCAGAAACGATGATCACATATGACGCGAAGGCGTTAAACAATGTCCGCAAACCCGGAGTTTGGTAATGAGAGGGGATCTGTGAATGGGAAACGGTTTATGAATTGCAAGTGTAATTGATGCGACTGGCGTAGGATTGGGATCACATGGTCTTTTTTTGGCAGAGTGCCACGGCGAATACCACGGCGTGCAGAGCGCATGATTGCAGGCGACACCTGCCCAGAAGCCTGTTGGGTCTCACAGTACGACATGGCGCTGGTAATGACCATGAAAATCAGTTTTGATACTTATTTGAACCTGAAAGATATCCAAAGAGTTCAAGAGTTCAAGAGAAGAGGCGGCCGAGGGTCTAAGCAGTACTAGTACAATGAACGAACCCATCGCTATACTTCATACTCCATACTTCGGCCGATCCAAAAATGAGCGTCCGCAATGCGGGCCGTCAGGTTTCCAACCACTCAATGGTTAAGTTGCAGGTAAACGAACAATGGAGCGGCATTGCCAAACATGCATGCTTGCTTACCTTGCCTTACCTGAGTGAGTGCTGCCTGCATATGCACGTCGGCACAAGCGTACTCAGCCTTGAAAAGCAATTGTATAAAGCCCAATAGGTAGATGCCTGAGCGCCCCATTGTCGTAGCCGAGCTCCCTTCAAAAGCTCACCCTGAGTATCTCATAAGGCGAGATATCCGGCGTTCAATTAAAGCTACCACACAGTACAAACATGTCAACGCGAGCTATTGTCATTGATTGCGGGTGAGTACTGCCTGATAAATGTAGTCGTGCTATAAAGCGAAGTCGGCTCTAATCGTTTCTCAGGTCCGCGTTCACTAAGGCTGGCTTCGGCGGTGACCGGCAGCCTCTCAGAGCATTCCGTGACTATAGACAAAATTCCCAGCTTTACCGATTCTCAACCGGCTGACTCGAGTTCAGCAACGGCCATCCAGTATCCTACTAGGACAAACGAGAACAGGGACACTAATCTTTGGACAGTAAGTCAGCATGAAATCTCCAGAAACCGTCCAAATTCCTCCAAGCGCAAGTCTTGTTGACTATGTCTCAGAGCACTTATAATGTTGGCCACGCCGTCAACCCGGATTATGAAGGCCTCAAACGCCCTCTGTACCCGATTAGAGCATGCGGCGTGGTGACTGACTGGCAGGATGCAGCTCGAATCCGGGACTACGCGCTCACGGAGCTTGGGGCCTCCATACCGCTCTCCTTCCACCCGATCATCATGACAGAGCCACTCCACATCCCTCGCACCCAGCGGTAAATCGCCTTTCCAAAAGTCTCCCTTAGACCCCCAGCAGACTGATGATCCGCGAACTAGGACGGCTATGATTTCCGAGGTATTCGAGTACCTTTCTGTGCCGGCTTTCTATACGACCGTCCCGGCCGTGTTGTCAACGTACGCGGCCAACCTACCCACCGCTCTCGTCGTCGACTCGGGTTATGCAGTGACCTGGACTCTGCCAGTTCACGACCACGCGCCTCTCGTGCACCCTTCCCGTATGCATGATGTTTCGGGACAGGCAATAGACGACTGGTTGCAGCAAGCTCTCATAAACGAAGTCGGTGTCGAGCTTCCGTCAAATGGGGCCTGGGACATTGCTCTTTGGTTAGCCAAGACTGAGCGATGCCGCGTCGCGATGGACTTTGAGGAGGAATCCATGCGGTGGAAGAAGAGCTTGGATGACGAACGGCAAGATGAAGTATGGGAGTTGCCTGACGGGTTGAAGGTGAAGCCTAACACCCCGCTTGGTCTGCGAGCGGGTGAGGTGTCGTTCAAGCCTTCTATGCTGGGGCTTGATGTTGGTGGGCTACAGTATGATGCTTTTAATGTTACCATGAACTGCAACCGAGACATACGGGAGGAACTTTGCCAGAACGTCCTGCTCGTAAGTTCTCTGCTCTCCTTCTCTATACCACATGAGTCGCCGTATTACTGACTATGGTATTATAGGCTGGCGGGAACACTATGTTTCCTGGATTCGGGGCCAGGTTGGAGTGTGAGTTGAAAGGTCTATTTAAAGAGGGTACTAAAATCAACGTCATCTCTCCTCGGAATAGAGCATATTCGGCCTGGGTTGGGGGTTCCATGGTGAGCGAACTTTCCACATTTGAAGGGATGTGTGTTACAAAGGCAGAGTATGAAGAGGCAGGACCGGAGATAGCAAACAAGAAGTTTCTGTGACATGACCTACATAGAGTGTTGTATTTATTCGGTGTTCTCTTACCTCACTTGCCACAATCGAGTGATGGGTGTAATAAGGTGTAAAGCATGCTAAGAAACAGAACAACGATAGACTGATATGATTAAGACGTAGGCACTTGGGCACCTGGCACCGGCTGTAAGCTGAGAGCTCGAGAGGCTTGGTGCCAAAGTGGGGTAGATCCCGGATGAGACCCGAGCTCCAGTGTCAGATCTTCCCGGTATTTCATGGGGCCGGTCATCCGATCAAATCCAGGCGGGGCCTGAGCTTCAGCTCAAAAGCTCAAAAGGTCAACCGTCAGGCACCAGCCACGTCACGTGGCCTGTAACGCCACAGGCTGTCACTAGCCTCGTGCGGGACGGTTTCTTGGTCTGCGTTTTGCGTCGACATCAAAGGCCAACATCAGCAACGATCATGTCAAGATGACAACACTCACCTCCACGACCCAAGACAGGCTGCATTTGGGCTCAGTTTGACCAAAAGGCTACTTTCCATTGTTCTCTGAACTTTGCTTCGCTATCATGCTGCAGTACAGCGAGCTTGGCTGAAGCCTGCTGCTGGCATCCGTCGCAGAGCCTCACTTGGAGGTTGGATCAAGGTATGTGTTTCTTTGCCGCCACGGCGTCTCCTGGATTCCAGGCGATTTGCTCGAGTTGAGCAGGTCATTCTCCTTCTTCGTGCCTCATTTCTGGCATTCTGAACAATGTAACATGGCGAGTGCCATGTACTTACGTCTTGGGCGGCAGGCTCTCTTGCCTCGCTCATCAGACTCACTCACAGCCCGCCCGGGCCAAGCACCTCAAGGTTCCTGGCTCCTTCGATGCGGCTCGGGTAAACTTCGGCAGCCGCGTCCAAGTTCGCAACATTCCGGCAATAACATTTTGTCAATAATTTCTGGGCACCGAACGCTAGCGCCATAACACAGCCATCCACAACAGAGCTCCAACCGACGAATAGGAACAGCCGACAGCTCGCCAGCAAAACTCTGAGCAAGGAGGCAGCACAGAGGTGCAGCAGCAGCAGCAGCAGAGGTGCGCAAGGTGGTCATACCTTAGCTTTGAGAAGCAACAGAGGCAGAAGCAGAAGCAGACACAGGCCGCGCCGTGGACTTGCTCAGAAACGAAAAGCACCGCAGAGACAAGCAGCAGCACCAGCACGCAGCAGCACCCGGCATACCCATCGACGGTCCCCCCCCCCCCCCCCCCTCTCTCGCACCTCCCACACCACAGCGACCGCGATTTTCTTGCTCGCACCGAAGCTCCCTCGCTCCCATTCGCCCCCCTGTCCTCTTCTCCTGCCGTCACCGACGAACAACAACAATCACTGTCAGCCTTCGAACTAAATTTCTGCCATCTCCATCCACCTCCACCAAAGCTTCCCTCGACAACCCCTCCAACTCCAACCCAACACTGAAACAGTCTTCTTCGATAACAGTCCTTTTTTCTGAACCCTTTACTCGACACGCGCATCCCCACTTTGATCGAATCATCGGATCCAAACTCGACTTCGAACTCATCTACACTTTTTTTTCCGCGCCCTCGCATCAACATCAACAATGGCCGGCGGCAAGGGAAAGTCTGGCGGAAAGACGTCCGGAGGCAAGGCTACGGCCGAAGTCCCCAAGAAGCAGCAGAGCCACTCCGCTCGCGCTGGTCTCCAGGTAAGTTGCGTTCTGCTGATGATGCGCCGGTTTTGCACGTCGATTTTTGGGCCCCGATATCGAGCATCGACCGACGACCACCCGGATTCGACGCGTTCGACCGCAACACAAGTTGAAATCGTCCTCAAACCATCATCCCGTGTCGCGCAGCAGCCTCCGCTTACAATGGGGAACTTGCGCGATCACTTTTACGCTGCTAAGACAGCACTAGATGATGGATGGGATGTTGTCGCGTGCACGATGCCGTTGGGCTCGCAAATGATGGCGCAAGGCCCGGAACGCACGCAGCAATGAAAATTTCTCGAGCTAGCGGTCGCAGCATTGCTAACACGGACTTTCCAGTTCCCCTGCGGTCGTGTCAAGCGTTTCCTCAAGGCCAACACCCAGAACAAGATGCGCGTCGGTGCCAAGGCTGCCGTCTATGTCACCGCCGTGCTCGAGTATCTTACTGCTGAAGTCCTCGAGCTTGCAGGCGTAAGTTTCCCACCCCTTCCGGCGCACTCCGTTGACTCGTCGGTGTCTCTGCCTAAATCTAATGCTGACGCGCGCCCTGTAGAACGCCGCCAAGGACCTCAAGGTCAAGCGTATCACTCCCCGCCATCTCCAGCTTGCCATTCGTGGTGACGAGGAACTTGACACCCTGATTCGTGCCACCATCGCCTTTGGTGGTGTTCTGCCACACATCAACCGCGCGCTCCTCCTCAAGGTCGAGCAGAAGAAGAAGGCCAAGGCGCTCGAGGCATAAATCCCGCGTCTTGCACAATAACAACAACGACGACGTTGATATTCCCGGTTGGCTTTTTTCTCAGGACGGTTATTTGGGAGTGGTTCGGTCTCAAGGGATGCTTTTTTCTGCTTTCCTTACAACACTGGTCAGAAACGACGATGATGCAGGTGTGCCAGAGGTTGAATAATCTTTTCACAACATCTGGAAACAAAGGAAGGAAGAGGCATGCAACGGTTCAGAGTTGCACGCAATTCCGTCTTGGACGTTCACGGGTACGGTGCTGGAAAAGGATGGCGCATGAGCCATCAGCACCTTGATCTTGACGATTGCAGGTTGCTCAACTCGAGTACCTGCACTCTCAGAAACCCACGCAGATTCGCCTCGAGTCTGGTACTCACTCACAATGTACAACATTTCGAGGTTCCTGTTTCGGTTCCCTAGAAGGCACGCGCGGATAAGGCACTAGCTGATGGGCTTAGGTAGATGAATAAAACTGTAATGGGGGCACACATTTGGTTTCCGTCTACTGATGCAAGCGCCCTTGTAGTTGATTGTATAATGTTCCTGGAAGTCTATCCATGTTGTATTCGTGAGTTCGCGTATATGCACAATGGCCTGACTGTATGTACTAACGGGGAATGCTGAAGCGTACGCGCTTGACTGGCTTCTCTGGTTGCGTTCCCATCCGCCCACGTTCACGCATACTCGCAAACAGGAGGCCACATCATGAGCCAGGGCGGCGACCTCATCATCGAATCCCTCAACACCGTCCGAGCCATGAGCATCGCCGAATAGTCCGCCCTCGCCCTCGCCCTCGCCCTCGTCGCCGCCGCCCGTGGGCCATCGCGATTCCACCGCTTCACGTGTTCCACCATGAAGTAGAAACACTCCGCATTTCCATCATCCAGGCTAAGCAAAGCCTTATCTCTCATGAACATGCGGGAGATGAACAACGGCCCCGTCTTGGGAGGTTCCTCAATCTTGTTGGAGTGGACGCGGCCGCAGTGGAGGCAGCGGTTGGTGCAGGTGAAGCGGTATCTTCTGCGGCTGCTGCATTTGGTGCAGGTCCATTTACGTTGGATTTTGACGTGGCGGCGTGTTGGTGTTGATACTATTATTGGTGCGTCGGAGTCGGAGTCGGTGTCGGAGGGGGATGAGGATGGTGACGAGGGCGATGAGGGCCAGGATAATGTGGATGACGATAATGGAGATGAAGGTGGAGGTAGTGACGAGGTTGATGTTGGAGGGGTGATTGTGATTTGTACGATGATTGCGTCTGGTTCGGGTGGTGAGTCGGGGGGTGTTAATAATGATAGTGAGGGTCCACGATGGCTGGATTCGTTTACTTGGAGATGGTCGGCCATGCTACGTCCACCTCCAAGTTCAACTCCGCGAAGAGCGCTTCCGATGTGTTGAAGATCTCGGGTGATGGATCTCGTTGTTCATCCAAGTTGAAGAGGTAGAATTAGGCTCTCCGTTGACTTTAACGATGGAGAAGGAATACAGCAGCATTGACCTAGAGTTGAAAATGTGTAAGCGTGCGTGTATCATCTCCATGATATTTGGGTTTACGTACAAGTACGAGTACGAGCGGGAGAATCAACCACATCATGAATAAGAACGATACCTCATTATCAAGGCATGGTAGACTCATAGAGTCCAAGCAGCTGGCTGCCTCCCATCGTCAATAATCATTCTGGCCCTTTTAAGGTATAACCAGTCTTCGGAGTCCGGCTGGCCCTTCCTGCCTGTATACTTCACCTACTATATGCATCATGCACACCACAACCCGTTTCATGAGACAAAGAAACAACTTTACCGCCCGCTCACTGACCCACTGAAGAATCATGAAATATCGTGAAACAGAACATAAAATGTGCCCTTCTTTGTAAGAACAGAACCTTGACCCAATACCCCCCATTAGTGATTTATAACAGGCATCTCTCCCTCAGGAACGTACGGTAGATTTGAACAACCAGAACCTCGCAATAAAGGAATCTCCAAGTCCTATTCGCATGCCGTCCTCACAATAAGCACCATGGCCATGAGACTCGGTCTCAAATCAAACGCAGTATATTTGACAAGGCGCAAAATAGCATAGGTAAGCTGCCTAGTGTGTGCGGCTCTTTCTCGGTACATCATCATCCTCTCTCTTCATCAAAATTATCTTTGTGCCGATGCACATTACACGCAAATAGTTTGGCCAGTCCTCGCATCTGCCATCTCATCTCTCTCGTGTGTTGTTTCTCCTTTGAAAATATCGACATTGGATCGTCCACTGATCTCGTCCTGTCATCCCTGCCTCAGATGCTCGCAAATGCATGTAAATCCAATGAAAAAAAAAATAACACGGAAAACTCTAGCAGTAGTAGGTCGATCAAAAGATCACACAAAACACGACCAAACGGCCACCAATGCAGCCTCAACGCCAATGTCCCCGGCGAAGTCGTCCCGAAAGACCATCCATGGGGACACTCAAAGCATTCCATGGGCGACTGTTTGCAAGTTGAGACAGAGAGTAGTTTGAAGGGTTTGAGGGGTTCAGAGTCGGGGGGACATGAAGGACCAGATAATGAAGAAATCAGGAAATGCCGGCGCGTTAGATAAAGACGCCCAAAATCAAATCAAACTTTTTTTTTTTCGTCGGTGAGCCCAATCAAGAGCTGGCATTGTTTTTGAAGCCGACAATCAACTGATCTTGGCCGTCAAAAGAGAGTCCAAAGGCAACATCAGTCTTGGGTCGTCTTGATCAAAACTTGCCGAACCGTGGTAATTAGGTGGGTATAGTCATGGTCGCCGAAAGGCATGGTCTCGTCATCCAAAAAGCGGCTTTTGTCGAGCGTGCTGGTACAGCTATCTAGACATAAAGAGGTCGTAACAGCGTATTCATCGTCAAGGGTGGTTCATATGCTCCCGCGCGCCATGAAAGGAGGTATGGCGGGGAAACAGGAGGGTATAGGGGGACCGCCCATGGGCCTTTTTTTGCCATGTCGAAATGGTTGCCCATATCAGAGTATTTTTCTTGTATCCAAGTTTCTTTTCCGTTCATCCTTCTCTGGTCGTTGAAACAGCCATGAGCCAAGGTTTCCTTGCCGGGCGGGTGCCGTGAATCCGAAGTTGGATGCCGCCGCGACACTGGGAATTCTTCTATCCACCAAATCCGAGACGGCCGAGCGAAGGGTCATGACGCTGCCAAAGGCTCGTGTCCAACAAATCATCATTATAAGCAATATGGGTGTGGTTGTGGGGGAGAGTGTCCATCATGAAAAGCAATGGTAGGTGTAACACAGGGTGGGGTTTTGTCGATTACCGAGCTGCGGTGAGCTGAAGTGAACTCGTCGAATGTCGTTTGTAGTCTCTATGCGTCGCGAGTCATGAATCGTTTCCTCATTGTAATGGTTGTCGTGGCAGTCTCGGCGAGGTTAATTATGGTTCTTGTCTAGTGGAATCGAGATGCGCCGGTGCTTCCAGCACGGGGTGCGTTGTCGGAAGAGTCTGTCGTGGGATTAGTTTCTTGAACTCGACATTCACTTTTGGCAGACAAAAATATACACTTACCGCTTCCACGTTGCATATGGCCGTTGGAGCGGTTGCGGCCGCTGAAGCCGGCGGAAGTTTCCCACTCGGGGCCTCTGGGCTGCCTCTCGGGTGCGTTGCGGTTGCCGCTATTGGCACCGGGGCGCTGGCTTCCAATAGCACCAGGAGTGCTTCGCGCCTGGGAATGAGCGGCCGACTCGTAGGAGCCAAGATTGAGTCCACCAAGCGAACTGAGCAGGCTGCTGTCGGTACCAGGAGTGCCGACCGTACCAGAGGTCGGCGTCAGATTGGGAGTGGCAAGCGCGGCGGACTGGTTGACACCTCCATTGTAGTCGCCGAAGCGGGCACCCGAGTTGCCAGACTGGGGTATGCTCCCGATGCCGTTCATGGCCGTCAAATAGCTCGAAGAAGACGCAGACGGGCTAGGGCTGAAGGATCGCAGATCAGCGAAGCTCTTGGCAGCGCGAAGGTTGGCAAGGCCATTTCCATCAGGGCTTCCGGGGAGCTCCAGGGTCGGACCTTGGCGGCCCATGGCATGGGAATAGTTGGTGCTGGCGCTCCGGGCCTCCCTGTCGGCGGCGAAGTCGAAGGTGGCTGCCCTGCTGAGGCCCTTCTTGTGGTAATCCAAGCCGACGGCGGGAGAGTGGATCTGCGCTGTGGGTGAGGGGAGCTGGCGCTTGACAACGTGAATTTGGCGCGACTCGGCCTCTCCCACAGAGTTATGCTCTAGGCCCATGTGATGGGCGAGGATATGGATCCGACGGCGCTGCTCGGGGGCAACCGAGTTGGGGAATATGAGAATCTCACGGCTGGTGTCACGCTTGAACAGAGTAAGCTCGGTGTAGAATTCGAGAGTCTCGGGATCGTTGAGATCAATATCTCCCTCTACACAGTCAGTCAGTAGGTGTCAAAAGAATCTCGCAGCTTCGTCAGGACGTACCGAGGGGAGCGCGGGGAGGGTTGCTGGAGACGCTGTTCAGGGTCTGCAGAGACGGCTGCTGGTGCAGCATCGGGGCGCGGTGCTGTTCTTCGAGTTGACCACGTCGTTCCCTCTTCTCGCGCTCAATACGCTCTCGCTCGGCCTCTGGCAGCATCTTCTTGTACTCAACCCTCAACTTTCGGCCGTGGACCTCCATGCCGTTCATGGCATCAATGACAATCTTGGTATCTTCGGGGGACTGGAAGTTGGCAAAGGCCAAACCACGGAACACGCCGTTGTCGAAGTGATAATTGAAGGCATAGGGCTGGGGTAAATGCATTTCCAACATGACGGCGGCAAGCGTCTCCTTTCGCACGGCGAAGGGAATGTTCTTGATAACAATGGCGGTAGGGATCAGCTGCTCTTCCGTCTGCGAGCTGGGACGCATATCGCCCTGTCCGTCGTAGCGGAGGCCATTTGACATTCCACCGTTGAGGCCGGAGCCATATGAGCCGTGCATGCCGAGTCCTTGATCGGTCCAGTTCTTGATGGCGGTCAGATCACGATTACATTGCTGAAAGCGGAGAGATGAGGAAGAAAAAGCTTACGGTGGGGAGAGCGGCTCGGCGATTGACGCTCCTCTGTCTGTTGGCGCCGTTCATGGCACCGTTGACGGTCGCGACACCACCAGCATTGTAGTTCCAGGCCTGGCTGTTGTCCAGCATATATCCTCCGGGCATTCCATTTGCAGACATTTGATCCATGGCTCTGGGGTTGTAACCAAGTCGGTCGGAAGGGAACAGAGCAGAGGAGCCCAAGCCGTTATCGAAAGGTCGCTGGGCCTGACGAGGGAGGGACAGACCAGATTGAAAGCCGCCCGCATACTGCCTCGAGGAGCTCGGGGAGCGATTCGGGGGGGCTGAGTAGTCGAGATACATGTCGTGTTGTTGCTGGCTCATTGTCTTTTTTCGTGTTTTTTTTTCTCGAGAGATCTAGACCCGGGGACGGCAGCTACTGGGTTTGATGACCAGTAGCCCGTGTAATTTGCCAACGGGGAGCGGGAGGGAGGAGGAGAAGGCGGAAGGGCGGTAATGCGGATGTGTGAGGGAGATGCAGGTTGTATTGGCAAGGGGGGCAGTTGGCAGATGCAGCGAAAAAGCCCTCGACAAAACCGACCGACTGACGTGTGTGGACAACGCGAGTGAGTCCAGGACTGACAGGGAACCGGCGACTTCAGGAAATGGCGGGCGATGCGGAGCAACAGTACTTTCGCCAAAGCCAAAGTGACAGCAACACGCAAAAAGGCGGCGTCTTTCGGGGACGGAGGCAGCGGCAGCAACCTTGATTGCTGTGCGATGCAATGCAGTGTGCAAGTGCAGTTCACCAAACACGCAGCATGCAACAGAAAAGTCGCAGGAAGATTTTCTCTCGTGTGGATGGACGGCCGTTCGCTCGTTCGGATCGCTCGTCGTTATAGTCGTGCAGAGACCCCCTCCGAAAATGGGTCAGGAAAAAAACAGGTTGGGAGGAGATGCGAGCAGCCGAGAGAGAGAGAAGAGGGAAAAAAAAAGTCGCACGCTGTGACCAGGACCAGAAAAATGCCGTGGCGGATGTTATGTAGGGGCGTGGGGGAGGGTGAGCGGTCCAGTCAATGGTATGGAAAAGGTATGTGGCGGGCTCCTTGCGGGATGGGCGCAAGCGGGCTGGTGCTTGCTTTTTTGCTTTTGCCAGGATCTCCTTCTTTTCAACTTCTCAACTTCTCTGTTGCTTGCTTGGCTTGGCCCTGGGGGGCTCGTTCGCTCGTTTTTCCGCCGAAGACGCAGGTCACGCAGTACCAGAGACACAGACGCAGTTGCAGTCGCAGTCGCAGACGCGGGTTGCAGACGCTTGACACGCGATCGCTTGGGGATTGGTGTGTGGTGCGCCTTGATTCAAGGTAGGATAGGGCAAGGCGCAAAGGGGTGTGTTTGTATTCCCTTGGTTGGTGGTGCGTACGGAGTACCTTGGGTAGGCAATAGATGCTAAGGTATGTGGGAGGAGGGAGGTGAATAATAAGGGACGGGATGGAGGAGGATAAGATAGATAAAAAATAGGGACGGAGGAATGATGAGGTGACCGACGCTACTACTTTTTTCGCCTGGTGTTGAGGCTCAAAAAAGGTCAAAGGTCGAAGGAGGAGGTTGATGAACTGTGAGG